GTACATACTAAAGCAGTTTTGTAAGTGGCTCTAGATAAAAGCATCTGTTGTTCAATGACTTAAATGTAAACATAGGACAGTTCTAATTGAAAGTTTTAATGACTCAATGTCTTCAAACAAGTCAAAAGAAAAAAATAGAAAGCACCAAAAAAAGCATTTTTTTATTTAAATAGTTTATTCTTTTTGGCTTTGATCTTATTTCTTCTTGCTCTTCTTGTCTTTGCTCTTCTTCTTGCCGTGAGGTTGTGCCTGTGCTTTGTTGTAGAGGTAGAGACCCACTAAACCCAGTAAAGTGGGAACCAGTGCCAAGCACAAAAGAGGCAAGATGTCGTTAACTAGTTTCTGCCACTGCGTTTGCTGGGACAGAGAGATCACCTCCACCTCAAACTCAAGTGTGCTGTCCCCTGTGAGGAAAGAGAGATGGAGAGATGAAGAATAGATTAAAGGGGTCATATGATGCAATTTCAGCTGGCCAATCAGAGCAGACTGCGCTTGTCAAAGGAGGGGGATTTGTTGAAAACGACGTGTTTGAGAGAGGCGGGGCATAGAGGACCTACAATAATGTACAGTATTTGAAAAATAATGTGTTTTTTGAACATTAAAGCATGTCAACATATTCTGTTACACCAAATACACAAAATAATGATCTTTAAAATAGCATCATATGACCCCTTTAATAATCACTTGGGACATGATTTAAAGGGACAGTCCACCCGAAAATTCTGTCATTGTTTACTCACCCAGAACCTGTATGACTTTCTATCTTCTGTGGAACATGAAAGATGATATTTTGAAGAATACTAAAAACCAAACAATTTTGGTTCCCATTGACCTCTATTTTATCTTTTGTCCTTACAATGGAAGTCAATGGGAACTGAAACTGTTTATTTACCAACAGTCTTTAAAATATCTTTTTTCATGTTCTACAGAAGATAGAAAGTCTTAAAGGTTCTGAATGACATGAGGGTGAGTAAATGATGACAGAATTCATTTTTGGGTAAACTATCCCTCTAATCATCCAAAAAAAGTATAATTATTACCAGCTTTATAGCTTTAAAGCCACTTTTAATGTGTGATCATGGTACCTGGAATGGTTGGAGGGAATCCTCTCTTTCCATACGCGAGATGAGCTGGAATCGTGGCCTTGATTTTTTGTCTGTGCAAAAACATAGATAGAAAACACTGAAAAAAAGGACTTTAAAGTGGGTGATTCAGACCTTTTCTTGCAGTAGTCTTGAACATATTATTCAATCACTGAATTTTTACCGTCTCTGCCTACAAGTATTGCCACAATTGTACATTCTCAAGTACCATACAGGCGTGACTTACCCTTCACACAATCCGACCAGGGCTTGCTCTAGGCCTGCCAAGCAAAATAACATGTTTTAAAGATATATGCAATTGTGGAAAAAGCACATCTTTTCTGTTTGGATTTACATGACCTTAGTTATCATAACCATCCTTCTCAAATTCAAAATGACATTGCAGTCAACCTAAACTATACAAAACTGTATTCAGCCTAAAGAAGTTCTGTTGTTATGAACATAACATCATTCAACTGCAGTTGCTGAGCCTCATACCTGTGATGACAGACCTCTTGCCCATCTCTACGACCAGAGGCTCACGAGACAGAGAGGTGTCAATCACCTTCCCGTCCATTAATCGACCCTGCACAGGACAGGAAAAATGGTGTTGCAGGTTAGTTGCATCCATTTTTATGTAGATGCAGCAAATTATTTGTTGTAAAAACATATAGAACCAGACTTGATAAAAAAAACTATGTAAGTAATAAAATGTAATAAAAGTTGACAGTCACCAGGTCACTGCCAGGCTGCTGGAATTGTGGATTCACTTGTAAAAGGTTTGGAAACATTGGTGTAATACAAAGACGAAATATATAAAGAAGGTGTGTTTTAATAATCAGGTTGGGGCATGTTGTCACCATGTGTTTTACATGCTGAAATTTTAAAACATTAATTACAATTTCTGTTGACCAAAACAATAGTTTGATATATTTGTGTATATGTGTATGACATTTAACTTATATATAGTGAAATTATACCTGTGTATATATAGTGTTATTATAATATCATTAATACACTATTATAGATTTATTATTATTTTTAATTAAATGTTTTTTATAGTTTCTGTTTTAAAGTGAGCTGTTCTGTAATGTTCAGTAATTTTAAAGTTTTAGAATTTTTGTTGTGTTTTTGTCATTTTATTTTTGTTTGTTTTTTATGTCTACATAGTTTTATTCATTGTTATTTATTCATTTTAATTGATTTAGTTTTAGTTAATTTAGTACTTCAAGTTAAACTACTGAACTAGCTAGCTGGAAAAAAGTTTAAGATTTTTATATTTTATTATATTCCAGGTAACGTTTATTTGTTTTAAATAACAAAGCGCTTTTAATTTTAAAATATGATAATAATGATAATAAGCCTATGTCTATCTATCTATCTATCTATCTATAGATAGACAGATAGATAGATAGATAGATAGATAGATAGATAGATATGTTAATTTAATATAGTTCCCCATATACTGTGACAACAAGAGGACCTAATTGTCATTATCATGTGTTAAATTAATTGTTTAGTAATTTTAACAAAATTAAAATTCTGTTTTTCTTTCTATTTTTTGTAGCAAAGCCTTTGAGGTATTGACCTAATCTAAGAACTATTCACGGGAGTGTAAAAAAAAAACAAAAAAAACAACAACTCGGTCTCCAGTTATATGTTCCCGCCTCTCTCGAGCATTTCCTCGAGACTGAATCAGCGCTGCTCGCCTTGACTCAAATGCTGACGTGTTGCTCCGCCTCCTCCACAACATTCGGTTTCGCTTAAAACTATTACAAATAACTACATTTCGAAACATGGTGACTCCACAAATGGTGATTCCACGATGAACTTCTATTCTGTATGAATTAAAAAGTGTTCATCTTTCTCACCTACTGCATTACAACTCTATTTTCTGTCAGACATGGCGAGTCCAGATGTCAGCTTGAGTCTGCCACATCACTGAACGATTTCATGTGCAAACAACTCCCCAAGAGTCCATTTTGCCGTATTTTATGTCATAATACCGAGAGATTTCATTGGGAGGTGCCTCGTTTTACAACATAATAGGCTGCAAAGGCGCAGCGCGTCGTACTTATTACCGTATAATGGATTTGAAGCGTGTCTCCCATCTCTGATGTAATCGTGCATGTCTCCGGCTTCACCTAAAATGGTCAAAAACATAATATTGAGGAAATCTTAAAGAGTGGACATCGTATTGCAAAGGGAATTAAACGCGCAGAACATCGACTGTACTAAAACATGCAACATTGTGAATATGCATGTTTGCAGTGAGACGTGAATGTACAAGCAGCGAGCCGCTACGTGGACTCTTGTAGTAATAGTCAATCTAGTCATTCATTAAAAAAAAAACTTGACCCAACTTACCAGTGTCTCCACAACCAACTGTTCGATCACGCTTTCTTTGCTATCTCCGTCCTCAGCCGCAACAAATGTTAAAGCTGCGAGAAAAACCAAGACGATCCCTGTCCGAACTCGCATCTTATCTCACGTTATGAGAAAAATCAGCACCAAGAGTAAAGGCCACAGAAAGGATAAAAGCTAGTCTAAGTGGCTCACTTCCGCAACGAGAGTCGCCCCACTGCAGCCTGCAGCGCTGAGAGCCAATAAGTCACTGAGGCGAGATGCCAGTTAAAGCTGATGTGTTATTATAGTGAAGAGATAACGGCGGGGTTAGTTAGACGACCCTCGAACACTGGACCAATACCTGGGTCACTGGAATCCCCGCCTCATAATCTGCCAGCATCCCCCAGCAGTCTCTCCACATGGCTGCTGCTGCTGCTGTAGGAGAATTTCCCCACTAGAGGGCGCATGATATGCTGAGGTGGAGAAAAGCACTGCACTGCAAACGGAAGGAACTGCAAAAATAATAGTTGTTGTCAAACAAGTTTCCAGAGAGCCCCGCCCCCGCCCCGTTGAAACAATGAGCAATGAGCATGAAGTATTTCATGATCAGAAAAGTATGCACTTCAGCTTTAAGATTATTTTCTTTACAATAAACTTAAATGAAAACATAGACAAATGTCAAAGGTATAAATTTTAATCTTTAGGCTATAACGCTTTATCGCCATAAGCTGTAAAGTAAGGCGTAGCATCTGCTGTAAGTACAGCCTACTTATTTGCTTCTTTTAATTCACATTAGGTTGACAATCTTATTTTTATATATTTAAGTTATCTTTGAGTTATCAAGTTATCTTTGCTTTATTTTAGTATCACTACTATTATAGTTTTTGTGAACATTTTGAATTAGATTTTATTTTTATTTTTCTGTTTTCATTGTAATTTTAGGTTTAGTTTTAGTAATTTTGTTGTGTATTTTGTTATTTGAATTAGTTTTTAGTTTTTATTAAAATATATCTAATATAGTTCATATTAAGTTTTTAGTTAGTTTAGTTTAGTTTAGTTTAGTTTATTTAGTTTTAGTTATTTTAGTGCTTCAGCTTAAACTAAACGGAAATGAGAAATGTTGCCTTGGCAACCAGCTGAAATAAAATATTTAAAAAATTATTTCAGTTAATAGTATTTATTTAATTTTAAGTAATGCCATTTTGTAATGTTTTAGTTTAGTTTAAAGATAATAACAACCCTTGAGTAGACTGCCATGCTGTTACTAAACTATTAGATATTAAGCCTCAGTTCAACAGTTTATTTACTGTTTGATTTCAAGACTTCAAATGTATTTTTCTTTTCCCTTTTGTTTTTATCATTTTACAAAGCCCTCAAATAGCCCTAAACAGGTAAAAAATAAATGCAGGCCAGAATTTCCAGTAAAGTTGTAGTTTGAAGGAGTGTTGTAACACCTCAAGCATTTCCTTGACATGTCATTTATTTGACTGTGCTACCTGACCTGACTGGAGGCAGTCTCAAGATGCGAAAAACAAACATCGCGAGAAATCCCCATCGAAGCCTGTGCTGTGGCGTAAACTCTCGTGAGATCTTCTCTCAGTCTCTCCGTGTCCTAAATCGGCTGGTGTCAACTCGCAAGGTAATCCAGATACGTTCAATTGTTGTGACTGCTTTCAAATGAAGCGCTTCGAAGTGGTTCTGACTGGTTGAAACGTTGTTTTGTACGTTTGGTAGAATATGACAGCGCGTCTTATATTGCTGCTGGAAATAAAAAGTCGACAGGCCTTCCGCGAGGCACGTATCGTCTCCATCTCTCCAAATGAATGAACATGTGTATCACAGATGATGTGCTGCCTTACGGCTCTTCAGACATTATGACGGCTCGTATTGCGCTCGGGTTTTGATTGATTCCGGTTTGCTTTTGCATGAATTGTAGGGATCTTGCATAAGAATAATTTCATTCATCTGCTTCGTGCCAAACGCCTCTCTTCACGGAGAAGCTCCGATCTTTGTATCCTACGCCGACATTGTCAAAGGGCCTTAATGAGCTCCAACAGACCGGCAGTAATCTAAATAATTAATTTAGAGCCATATTAATGTTTTTTAAAGACCATTGTATTAGATGTCATGTGGATATCTCTCTAGCGCAGTCGTATTTCGTTGTCTCGTGACTTAAATACATCGTTGGGGTCTCTTGCACGGGTTTGAGGAAACCTGGGTTTGTCGAATCCTTCAGAAACAAGGAAGCCTTTAAAAAACGATTAAGTCGTAATGTGTGGAAATTATATTCGTGATGTGTTTTGTGTGAAAGGGTTTGCTGGAGGTGGGTCGGGCGTCAGCACCATGGACAGCTCAGCCGGAGTCAGACCCCCGCAGCTTCCGAACAGCATCATTATCAGATTACTGTTTATCACAACCACCTTCTCGTATTACTCTTAGTCGACACATTTACATGTGCATGAAGTATTGTTCATTGCTGGTTATGCACCTTTAATATTGTTAGAGTTTGTCTTGATTTTATGTAGGGGAGGCCATGGCTCGATGTCACACTTTTACCTCTGTCAGTTTTACTCAGAATAGGTTTAATTTTAAAAGTCAGTTTCTTTCTAGGCATGCTTTGCTACAGAAAATCTATTGAACATGTCCAGTGTGGCTAGGAAAAAAGATACATTTTAACACACTTTGACATTTTGTGACAGCATAACCAAATAGCAGGGCATTGTGACATTATAAGTTGTCAAAATATGGACATGCAATTGTTTTTTTTGTTTTTTTTAAACAAAATGTCATTTTTGAAACACAAAACAAGTCATGTAACAGCAAACATGTAAAAAGTCCTGAGCACACAGTTTAATGTTTTCAGTTGAAATCTGAACATGTGTCAATAATGTGGTTTTTATTATGTTTTGTTTTAGCCTGGATTTGTTTAACCAACAGTTATAGAAAGAACATGATGATTGGTATTTTAATTTGAAGAAAATAAAAAAAATGTATTTAAAAAAAAAAATCTAATTTAAAGGAATTGTTCATCCAGATCCATCGAGACATTTTTAACTGTTGCTTCCTGCTAAAATACTTCTTAGTCCATAATTCATAATAACGACTCCTCCAGTGATAAAGTCCATTCCCTATTTTCCTCTCACATCAAAACACACACAAAATCCTCTCACAAAATCCACTGACATATGTTTAGAACTATTTTTGCTGTGCATATTTCTCTTCTGACTTTTTCACTGGAGAGAGCAATATTATGGATAGAAGCCAGGAAGCAATGGTTTGAATTACTGAACACCATAATGATGGATTTATTGATGGCAAACATGCAGCCTTTTCACTTCACAAGATCTTAATTGATGGACTGGAGTCGTGTGGATTACTTGTGGATTATTGTGATGTTTTTATCAGCTGTTTGGACTCTCATTCTGACGGCACCCATTCACTGCAGAGGATCCATTGGTGAGCAAGTGATGTAATGCTAAATTTCTCTAAATCTGTTCTGATGAAGAAACAAACTCAATTACACCTTGGATTGCCTGAGGTGAGTAAATACTCAGCAAATTTAATTTTTGGGTAAACTATTCGTTTAAAAGGGTTTAAAACTAGGTATTGAAAACAACACACAAAGACACAACGCACTGCTTGAGAAATCGATTTGTGTATTTGGATTTGACTCAAAACTTTATAGTTCCTTAGATATATGCACTGTGTGACTAGCCCCAGCCTTACTTAAACAAGCTTAATTTCAAATTTAAGCCTTATACTTTGACATTCGTGAATTGGGACAACGCGGTTATCAGGGAATGTGTTCTACATCTCGGATAACTCCACCTGGGAATGTTCAGGGATGACTAGTGGGGGTTCATGTGAAGGCGGGATATGTGAGGGATGAACAGATTGCGGGTATGGCCTGAAGACATGGCAGGATCATAGTTTCTTCAGTTCAGTGTGTGTAGTTGTTAACATTCTTGTAGCTTGTACACATAAAGCATACTAGTGAAGATCAGAAATGTATACACACATCCAGAAGCGTCATGCTCATTCAATCCGCCCCCTCAGATCTCTGAGACTTGCATCTTCCAAATGAGTCTTTGATAAGCAGTTGCGCGATTACAGTGGGTGAAAGAATGTTTGACTGAAACGTTCAGATTGCACAGATCATCATCAGTTGAATCACACCTTATGTAGATCATTTGCTGTAATCTGAGAGTGCATATTCATATCTAAAGGGAGCATATTTCTACCTTAACGGTACATATCGGTACCTAAAAATGTACATATTAGTACCTAAAAGGAACAAAAAAGTACCTTTTGAAATGGTACCGCCCTAGTGACAGCTATTGTACCTTTTTTCTGAGAGTGTATAAATATACAAACATACCCACGCTACTGTTTAATGTTTTTGAATAAAGTCTCTCATGCTTATCTAGGCTGCATTTTTGATGAAATATACAGTAAATAAAAAAATAGTAGTATTGTGAAATATTATTTCAATTTGAAAAATGTGTAATATATTTTAAAACAATTTATTCCAGTGATGACAAAGATGAATCTTCAGCAGCCATTACTTCAGTCTTCAGTGATATGCTGATTTGATGAAACATTTGTATTATTATCAATGTTAAAAATGGTTCTTCTTCTTAATATTTTGATGGATTCTGTGATGCATTTTTTCCAGGATTTTTTTTTACGAAAAGAAAGTTGAAAAGAACAGTATTTCTTTGAAATATATATTTTTTAAACATTATAAATGTCTTTTACTGTTACTTTTGATTAATTTAATATATCCTTGCTGAATAAAAGTGCACATTTCTTGAGATTTAGAATAACATTTCATCTTATTTTTCCCTGTCCAGGACTCTAGATTTCTAGACTTTTTCTCAGCTATATAACCTTGTTTCTCAAGGCTTTCAGTGTTTTACCTCAGTGGATTGTTTCACACCAAGGACTCACAGCTTTCTGGATTGTGATTGGCTAGACGAAGCAAAACATTGAATCATGGGGAATATTTTTGGCAATCTGCTGAAGAGTCTGATAGGGAAGAAAGAGATGAGAATTCTGATGGTTGGATTAGATGCTGCTGGTAAAACCACCATCCTTTACAAACTGAAGCTGGGAGAGATCGTGACCACCATCCCAACCATTGGTAAAATCCTTCTCTTATTTGATGCTATTGTTATGTTGACTTTGTTACGATACTGTTATACAGGTATCTGTACATCCTTAGGCAGAATTCAAGCTCTGAGACACAATGTCATTTCAAATGAATTAACTAATTAATTAATTAAATATAATTAACTTTTGTGAAACAGCTGGTTGAAGAACATTTCCATTTCAGTTTTTTTTTTATTACAATTCACTAAATTCCTTTTCTTGTGGGATGAGACCATTAAAATTTAAATTTACTATTTGAAATTAAATAGAGAAGATTATTCAGTTCTGTATTTTGACTGTTACACTGTAACCTTTAGTTTCCATTTAGCTGAATATTTTAATGCTGCGATTACTGTTGGCAAATATAAATACTTCCTATAGCAGAAATTGGCAGGTATACAGTATTTGTAGAAGTCTATATAAGTTAGATGTTACAATTTCCCTAGTGTCCCTACATATATAGTTTCTAGAGCCGTTAGATTTTTACAGTTGCTGTGAGATGAATGTACAGTAACTGAATTGTACTGTGATTCTGGGCCACACAGTGTAAGTTTGTGATGTTTGTGCTTTAAGGCTTTAACGTGGAGACAGTGGAGTACAAGAACATCAGCTTCACTGTGTGGGATGTGGGTGGTCAGGATAAAATCAGACCACTCTGGAGACACTACTTTCAAAATACACAGGGTGAGTTACACATACACACGACTTCTCCCGCTTAAACACAAGCTGTATTGAGTTGTCTGTGTAAATGATTGTAATTTGGCGTGTCTGTGTAGTTTGTTGTGTTCAGTGAGCACCACAAACTGCATTTACACTGCTGTGCCTGCAGAGCCACCTTGTAAACATCAGTCAAGCAGGGTTATTATAGTGACCTAAAATTAAAACCATAAAAATATTTCTGTTACTTGAATTAAAATAAACATTAACTGAAAGAAAGTAAAAAAAATTATATATGTAACTATTATTATTTATATTTTAAAAACTTATTTTATTGCACTAGTTGCCAAGGCAACATTTAGTTTAACTTGATGTATTAATATAACTAAAACTGAAAAAAAGTCATAAAAACTATACAGTCATACTTTCATTAAAATAAACATTAACTGAAAGAAAGTAAAAAAAATTATATATGTAACTATTATTATTTATATTTTAAAAACGTATTTTATTGCACTAGTTGCCAAGGCAACATTTAGTTGATACAGTCATACTTTATAAAAACTAATAAAGATGAGAAAAACACATTACTGAAGCATTAACAAAAATGTATGTAAAAATGGAAAATATTAATAAAAACTATAATAATTTCTCAGTGATACTAAAACAACACTGGTTAAGATGTCCACGTCTTAGTGCAAAACACAGTATTCATAAATAAAAAATGTTCTTTTTAAACAAAACATTGCATAGCTGAATACAGTCAGTGTATTCTTTTGTGCTGTGTTAATGTTTGTTGCTTGTTGAATAATATTTAGTCTCTATTCTTTATCTTTGCTCATTTTTCTTACCTTAGGTCTTATCTTCGTGGTTGACAGCAACGATCGGGAGAGAGTTAACGAGGCGCGGGAGGAGTTAATGAGGATGCTTGCAGAAGACGAACTGCGTGATGCTGTCCTTCTTGTCTTCGCAAACAAACAGGTACAGCATCTTTCCTTCATATGACATATTCTTGATATATTTTTACAGCTGGAGATTTTAAATTGTGGCAATAACCAATCAAGGAACTTTAAATGATTTTTTTTTTAATAAAGCATCCTTACTACCTGACTGACTACTACCTCAAATATTTTGATATTTATACTATAGTTCAAAAGATCGGCGTTTTTATTCAGCAACAGTGTTGGGGAAAGTTACTTTTAAAAGTAATGCATTACAATATTGCATTACTCCATAAAAAAAGTAACTAATTACGTTACTTCGTTACTTTTTTATGGAAAGTAATGCGTTACGTTACTTTTGCGCTACTTTTTAAATCTGGACAGAAAAAAAAAAAGTAACTTGCGCAACTTATTTGAAAAAGTAACTCTTTCATAAGATATTCTCTTGTAAATTAAAAAGTAATGCGTTACTATACTAGTTACTTGAAAAAAGTAATCTGATTACGTAACTTGCGTTACTTGTAATATATTACCCCCAACACTGTTCAGCAAGGATGCATTCAATTGATTAGAAGTGACAGTAAATACTTTTACATTGTTACAAAAAAAAATATTTCAAATGAACTTTCCAATCATCAAAGAATCCTGAAAAACGAATCACAGTTTCCACAAAAATTAGCACCATGACTGTTGTCAACATTGTTAACAATAAGGAATATTTTTTCGAGCAGCAAATCCACATATTAGAAGGATTTCTGAAGGATCACTGAAGACTGGAGTGATGATGCTGAAAATTCAGCTGTGCATCACAGGAATACATTACATTTTAAGTATATTAAAACAGAAAACGGTTCTTTTAAATTGTAATGACATTTCACAATATTACACAGTTTTAACTTCATTTTTGATCAAAGAAATGCAGCCTTAGTGATCATAATAGACTTCTTTCTTTTTTCTACCTCAAACTTTTTAACATTAGTGTATTCATTACTTACAGAAAATTGTATTTACTCAGAAAACACGGCTGCTTTTGAATGTTCATCAATGGACAGTCCATAATCTATTGTATGTAATGCAGCTGCTAGATTTGTGTATTTGTTTCAGAATAAAAATATCTGGTCCCATAGCAAATACTTAATTTCACAATCGACTAATTTGTCATTTTATTCCTCCTTGACTCCAGGATCTGCCAAACGCTATGAATGCAGCTGAGATCACAGACAAGCTCGGCCTCCATTCGCTCCGCCATCGCAACTGGTATATACAAGCGCCCTGCGCGACCAGCGGCGACGGTCTGTACGAAGGGCTCGACTGGCTCGCCAATCAGCTCAAGAATAAGAAGTGAGGTCGCGGGATTTTCTTTACGTGGGCCGTCTCTCGCTTTGGGAAAGGGGTGGGACTAATTTGGCCTTTATGTTTGGTTTTTCTTTGTTTATTTTTTTGGTTGTATTCTGGAAAACACAGTATGTGGTTTAAAGAGCCTTCTATGCTCTGCACACGCATTCACACGCAGATCAACATGCATCTAATTTCCTCTGTTGACTTTTCCATTTCACTGTACGAACAGTATCGGTTTATAGCATCGACGTTTGGTCGATTTCATCGTCTCTCCCTCACTCACTCACTAACGTGTTTACAATCAGTGATCAGTGTTGTCCTTGACTGCCATGAAGAAGATTGTCGGGTCTGGGCATGCTCATGTATTATGTAATATGCTTATGTATTTCTCAGTAGATGTGATTATGATGCAGTTTGCCTCCTCACGCACACAATATCCACAGTCTGCGATCCCGGCGGTTTGTGATTGCGTTAGATACCCTGCTGTGTTTTGCATGGCTGTTTCTCTCTGTGTCGTGTTAAGCGTTGTGGTGTAGTAGAGGTTAGATCTGCATGTGTGTGTTTGTTTGGTCACACGGAGCTGGTTGGTGTTGCATGCTGCTTTGTGGCCGTGCTGTACTAGAATGGACGCAGTACAAATGTTCCTTGTCACACATCCCTCACCTAAATTGTGAGTCAAGCGTGGTGCTGTTGGGTAGTCCACCATAATTCGCATTCGGGTGAAGCTGTAAATAAAGCTTTTTCCAATCAAACGCCCCTTTGTTGTAGAATTGACTTGGCTAATTGTTGCATGGGTAAAACTATTGTTTTGTAAGAATCACTAGCATTGTCTGCATGGCATGCATGATAGATGGATAGATAGATAGATAGATAGATAGATAGATAGATAGATAGATAGATAGTGAAATGCTGTTTAACACAGTCTTTTGTTAGTTGCTATACTAATTTACCACTGACATTAGTCGATTAGTAGATTGTTATGACACTAAACTGTGCTATTTTTGCTTTTGCACTCATATTAGTGAACAGCATAAAAACAGCACAACCAAAGCCTCGGTATGTCAGTGGTCTGTGGCAAACTGCATAATAACTCGTCTACTTCTGTGTTTGTCGCATGTTTCATGCTCATAATGCGTTTTGTGGGTTCAGACTAACATATCACCCCCAACGAATGTGACTTTTGTTGAATTAGTGCACACATTTTGACTTTTGATTAGTATGGTTCAGAAATGAGATAATATATAGATATACTGTATATATATTTATAGTAGGTTGTCTTTTGTGTTTAACACTTCAGGCAAATATCACAGATGCAGCGCTGATGTATAATTCATAGTACTAACATAATCTATATGTGTTACAGACTACAAGCACAAATGGAAAATCAAATTCTAACCTATTTTTACCATACTAGCTAGTGTAAATACAACAAGACTGCTTATCCTGCATTGCATATGTGTTGGTTATCCATCCTTCACACAAATCTAACACTAACACAGTCTGTTTGTAATTGTATTTGTTTCTGCGAATAGCACTGTTTTCTAGTTTGCATATTAGCTACACATTTTTGGCATCTTCCCACTTACTACCCAGCACCTTTACACTAAAACCCACTGTTATGACTCTTATGACTGTATGAACATTTTAAAAAGACAAGTCTTTTCAACCTAGGACATGATTTGAGTCTTGTATTATTTTGAGTGCTGTAGCGTGTGGGTGATGCAGGAATGGGAGAGTTACCAAAACAACTGTGCTATTTAGCAAGACACTTAACCTCAAAGTATCCAGTTTGGCTTTGGACACACTCTACAGTAGTATTTCAGCATATAATGCAAACAACGATATGTCTAACAAGGCCATTTCTACACAAGTCTGCAGTGTGAATCGTCCAGTCTGTTAAGTTTTGTGGCCTTATCTTCTTACAAATGTGTTTTCACAAGGTTATTTATGAACTAAGTTATTGGGTCACTAAGTTGCTTGTTTCGTTTTTGGTTGATCTGGGAACAAAAGGGGTTAAAAAAAATCTCAAATACATAGTTTGCTTGACTTCAGAGCATTTATTCTTTGCATTTATTCTTTGCATTAAATTGTTTGTGTGCTTACTGAGTAGCTAGGGTTGACTTTTTAGGATGGTTTAAAGTTTGATTTTGTCTTCTTATACATCATATTTTTATTTATGTATTTATTTTGGTGAGTGTTTTGGTGAATGTGTTTTTACCTCTGTGTGCTTATGCATTTTCTTTGTTGATTTTTTACTGTGTTGGGTAAATCATTTCGATGGCTTATACGGTGTCAGTGAACATAATCAATGAAGGAGGAAAACAATTTCTCACTGAATAATTAATAAATGAATAAATAGAACTTAGAAATCTTGGATGAAATGTGTAATTATCTGTTACAGTAGATTAAGAAAGATTATTGTTGATTATTATGATGTAGACACCAAAAACTTTCTCTCCCTCTGATCCCTGACTGTAACGCTACACTCAAATAAAAACAGGAAAATTATTTGCTGTTTCTTCTCTCTTTTGTTCCATTTTACATTTTTTATGCTTCTTTCAAAGCTACTTTTTTTAAAGTGGACATAAGAATCTTATATAATGACCACGCCTGCTGGCAGATTATAGTGGATAATGTTGAATAAACCTATCCTACCTGGTCTGGAATATGCTTTAGTAAAGCCACCTAATGACTTCATCATATTGTATATTATGATAAATGTCTTATATTGATCTCTGGTAGGCGCCAGAAATGGATCATGTCTAATCCTAGATTATGTTACAGTTTTAATGGATTGCATTATTTATCGCAAATCTCTCACAAAGATAAACTGCTTTGAAACTTCTGAGCTGGATTCGTGGAGTATTTCGAGTCTCTTTCTGCACTGCAGCCCTTTATGTCAACCAGAAGAGGGCAGAATTATTGTGAAAACCATCACACACACACCACTTTTCAGTTTATGAAAGGAAGTAAAGAATAAAAAGCATATTCTCATTACGGCATATGTGCTTAAATATGTCTTTGCCAATGTATAGTATATATATTCAGTGGAAAATATTTATTAATATTAATATACAACAAGCTGTTCAAAGCATATAAAATTAAAAAAGAAAAAGAAAAAGATTGTTAATAATTTTTCTTGTTAATAATTTTTACAGTTAAATGTATTTTGGTGAGGCACAGTATGTGATGTGTGCTCTCAAAGTTTAGTGTTTACTGTTGAGACATTTAGAATTTAAAGTATTACCATGAATAAATTACAAAAGGGACATTAAAATGGGAACAAATAAGTACATACCAATATAACAATTTTTTATAATAATTTAAAATATACATTATTTAAAATCTATTATTTTTGTGTCTGAAAGTGAAGTTTCTAACAAAAGTTTTAGTGATTACCGTTGAGGAATTATAATTGTGTTCTGGCCAATTATATTGTTGGCTGGTGAGATATTAACAAACAAGGAATGTGTCTCAAACCCTAAAAGACCTTGTTTATGCACTGCATTTCCATGAAGAAGAAAAAATCATATGATGCATCAGAGCATATAGGGAATAGAATTATTTTTGTGTCTGAAAGTGAAGTTTCTAACAAAAGTTTTAGTGATTACCGTTGAGGAATTATAATGAATACAATCCAAAACGACATTAAAATGAAAAAAAAATTTGAAAAACGTAAATACATAAATACATTTTAAAAAATCATAAAAGATTATTTAAAATGTATTATTTTGACAGTTATTTCTTGTGTCTGAGAGTCATGTGTGCTCTAAACACTTTCTTGTCTCAGAGGTCTGAAGCCATCTGAACCAAGGCACAAAGTGTTCTTTGTGAGACTGTGAGTCCAGAGCCATCAAAGAAACACTGATAAACTAGTGGACGATACTGGGACACAATGCCAGCCTTGACTTGCACACAATGAGAGCCCTCAATCCAGCAGGACATTATTATCGATACAGCAAAGCCCGGATTTGTGTATGTGCGTTTGGAGAGAGAGAGAGAGAGAGAGAGAGAGAAATGTGTCTCAAACCCTAAAAGACCTTGTTTATGCACTGCATTTCCATGAAGAAGAAAAAATCATATGATGCATCAGAGCATATAGGGAATAGAGCACAGTAAAGAATTCAGGGTTGTTGTGTAAGTATGTCTGTCTGTGTACTACTTGTTTGTTCAATCAGTGCCTCATACAGACCGGTAGTGCAGGAAGAGCTGGTCTTTAAAACCTGTTTTCCAACTGTGACTATTACACTGAACACTCACATGCTGTCTGAATGGAGAACAAGGAGGAAGTTAATTGTTCAAAATGTTCTTTAAAATCATAATTTTATTTATGTGTAGCATCATCCATTGTTGGGCCTTGTAGAATTTGTGGAATTATAAGGAATAAGCTTAAAGATAAAAATATAAAG